CGACAACTAATAACGCTAACCGTTACGAATATGTAACAGCATTTGATCCACAGACAAACTGTTTCATACATCCTTATATAAATTGAAGACATGTTGTCTTGCACGTGACAAAACGGTGAGCGATTTCTCTCAAATATGTCACGTTTATAGAAACGATAGATTTTTATTGATACAATAAAAGATAAAAGGATAGGGCTCTCAGCGTTGTTAATCCCTGAGGGATGCGCCTGCATTCGTCTTCATTTTATAACTTCGTTTGAGGTGAATGAATGCATATCTGGCCTTTACAATGACAAGCGGAGGCCTCCCCTGAACGGAGTCAAAGCTGTTATCCTCCCAGACAAATCTGAGACCAGTCTGGTACCAGTTTGCCGGCTCCGGAGGGTTGGATGACTTGGTGAGCCATGAGCGCGAGATCGAACCACTGACTTCGTGTGCGACACAGAGCACCTCTAACCACTGCGCCACATGCGCCATATTGATACATTGAGTTATCTAAAAACTTATACGAGAAGGTGTACATAAAAATGCGCTTGTGCTCGAAGAAAGCGAAGCAACCAAAGCGGCAGTCATTAATTGCAAAGAAGATTTGTCTGCTTCGCGCTTGCTTTAGACAAAAAAAGCAGTCTGTGGTGCTCATATTTCATTTATTCAAAGCAAGATAATCTTTCCGTTTATTTAAATGCAGTAGGTTCAAGAACTGACATTTCACGAAAATGGCTCAAAATTACTGTTTTTGCTTTCTACTTCGAATACATGATAAGTGAACATACTATTCCGGTCTGTAAAATCGTAAAATCCTCGTTCAAATCAGCAATAAAATTTAGCATCAAAAAATGTACTTTGGTACCCAAAATTTTCGTATTGATTGTTTGCAGGCAAATGAATTGCCTTATAGACGTTGCAATACTACCGCAAAGTTTTTCGTTATTAATTACCTTAAAGCTCCATAGATAAGCGAGGTTTGATTTTCGCAAGAAAAAGGGCGGACAAGCAAGCGCGCTTGAATTTTTTCCAACCCACACAAAGTGCGTGAATAAAGTGGAAAAAACAAGCAAATTCAAAAGTAAGAACGAATTAGGTATAACGAAACTCCGGAGAAGAAGCTTATCTACGCGCTTATTTTCCAGTATAGACTACTCTTATTCTGAACCGATCTTATCTAAGGAATTTTAGGGTTTCCGAACTTTATGCATCTCAACAGCATGTTATGTGTGCATTCATTGTTCGCATATACTTTCCCCTGTTTCCAAATTTTATTCCCAATTTTGGAATTTTGTAATATAGTGCTACCATGAATCTCACAAATTCTTGCATGATTTCTTATTATTTAAGCTATCTTCCATAATTCATTCCCGTTTTCATTTCTTTTTATCTTCATGACTTTGCAAGGATGTCCGACAACATTCTCTACAGACAGTGGTTCGGATTTGATGCATAGTGAAATGGGAAAAATACATAATATGAAAAGCTCTTGATTTCTCCAATTATTCAAGGACGCGATAACCGTCGTTTGATGGCTTACAGATATAAACATTTCTAAGAATCCTAATATTGATCTGGGAACTTATGTTTGCCAGCGTTCTAGTGGAAAATTGACTGTGACATGTTTTTGCTTTAGCATGTTGTTCTTTCCGGTTTCGCTACGTTCTCGACTTTACTCCCTGCCTCAAGTTCACCTATATTCTATGAATTAGGTAAAAAAAAACTGTTGTCAACTTTGTAGAGTGCTGTTTCGAAGTATGCTATATGTACAGGAAAAACATTGTGCATCAATCCAACATGATGTTACTACTTTTGATAATGATAATGGTAGCTGCAGCACAAAACATCTCGTTTTCCGGAGATCATGGAATCATTTACTCTCCCGGATATCCAGACAATTATACTAATCAGCTCAATCAGCACTACATAATCTCGGTATGAAAAAGATCATTAAGTTTCCTCTTCTATAATATTGAAAAACCAATTCATAAGAAAATGTAGCCAGGTTTCAGCTAAGTACTGTTCACGCGTACTCAATCTATCTCAGAAAACAGAGTTACACAAAACTTCAGCAGACTTCTTTTGCTTTACTATAAAGAGTAGCGAATTTTCAAAGGTCGACCCAGGATACCACATCTCTCTTACGCTGTATGATTTCAAAACAGAGGCATGTTGTGACAAACTCCATATATGGGATGGCGACGATACGACAGCGCCCACGATTGCCATGTGAGTTTTTGCTTTCTTTTCTTATTATACTCAGACTAAACTGTTCAACAATTCAAAAGTTGAAAAATCGAAGCAACGCTGTTTATTTCATTCGCCTGGGAGAATAAAAAAATTGCATCATTAAGAGCATCATGAAGGATTTGCCAATTTCTAGGTATATCTTTGTAATTTATTTACTTAATTAATCCGCTGAGTCGCTTGTTGTTTTTCTCGTGACAAGCGGCGTGATCACGCTGTGCGTAACGCGTTGCAATGACAATGCGGTAGTTTTCTAATAAATTTAGAATTTTTTCCCCACTTAAGAATGTTATTCTATAGACTAGGCTATTACTCTTGGTTAAAACATACCAAACATCTGCAAAACAATGATTCATTTGACAAAAACTTCTCCACACATTGCCACACGATGCCATCTTAGCAATACGGTTTAACCGATTTCCCGCGATTAGCGTAATTTGGGCTGTAAACTTTATAGAGCCTTCACGAGTTGCAACCTCTATAGAAGAGACTTTTTTTATAATCAACATTACGTTTAAATTGGTTCCTCTAGTAAATAACCTATTTTTCCATACCACAAAGTCTGTTTGGAATCAAAAATTTGCTCTTAAATACCAAACGGCTTGTTGTGAAGTTGAGACAGTGCACTCCAAAATTAAGCTGCTATCATTTTTTCGTCAATAAAACGTGATATGAAGGTCTTCAGAGGATTATGCTTAGTATAAAGATCGACATTCTCAAGTTATCGAATCCAAGGTTACAAACAGTTGAAAACAAAATGCCACTTCCGTGACAAGTTTGTTTCACTTTTGAACATAGGAGATTTTCGGACACATAGGGTCATTTTAATTAAAAAAACCTTCATAGAAGTTTTTTTTGCGGTATTTATAATATATTAATGATGATGTTGAAAAACCTTTCGCGAGCGGTGCGCGACGTGGAGAGCGGTGGTAAATATTTGTGTCACTTGGGATTCAATGGGTTAAGCTATAGGCTTAAATTTCCGAGTATCAACAGAGTGATCAGCGATGCATAGTACCAAGAAGGTGGTGGTTCCACCTTTCCACTCAGCACTTTCTAGCAGTCACGTGAGAATGCCTTAGCTAGGCGATCCCTATTATTGAAAGTAAGAGGAATTGGCTCAAACAGCTTCCGACGGCATCAAAAAATACGATATCTTAATGCAGCATCGGAACAGTGCGTGAATGTGTGAAGACCTGTGTGATAATAAATGCAAGCAAACGAATCTCTTGCAAGAAGAACTGAGATCGGCAAGCTAAATTGTGATAATGAATCAAGTAACAAAAAGAGTAGAAATTATAACACTTCCCAAGTGATCGCCGGCTGTGATGACAATGAAATTGTCGGAATTGTCTTATTTATTGTTAAGTGTTTCCGGAGACGCAGCAGGACAGTCATTCATCTCCTCGGGACCGATAGTCACATTGCTGTTCAGCACAGACAACTCTGCAGAGGATCGTGGATTTGCAATCCACTACCAAAAGACCTCGGGTAAGGGCCGTATCTTTAGAATTAGTCGCAAATAAGGCTGATAAGAAGGCTGATAAAGTGGAAGTAACTATGAAGTGTACTTGAAGATTTTAGGTATTCAACGAAATGATCGTTTTTGTGCAATCATAAAAGATCATGAAGACTTTTGGGATATTCTCCAATATGAAAGCTTTTCATATCACACATTTTTGCAATTGTTCCATTTGCATATGCTCGCAATCTTTTTAGATAAAAATGCTTACAGTGGACACGGAACAGACAGAGTCGGACAAGTGCCAGTCAGGGTACCATTCATCTGGTATTGGGTTCATCGCCTCACCTGATTGGCCCTCTTCCTATCCTATTGATATAACGTGCTACTACCTGCTGACGGCACCTCCAGACAAGTCAGTATCAGTTTGAAAAATGGATTAATGAGAGAATAAAAGTGAACTTGCTCAACGTCAATATGGTGCTTCAAAAAAGCATAGGTGATTTCCATTCCGCTTAATGAGAACAATTTTGTTTTGGAATCTTTACAATATCGTTCTTTTATTCTCTACTTATACTTTTCTGTGCACTTTTTGAAGACCTAACGATCTAGGACATCGGCTGTTTTCAAAAACTTCGCAATGAACATTCAAAATAATTTCAAAAAAGAATGTTGAAAGGCGAAGCGATGTTCTTACGCCAGGGCCATACACCGGGGTTTCGGAGGTCTCGCCGTCCTCGTCAGTATCCATGCCCCACATCAAACCCTGCATTGCAGCAAGGAGTCAGGCGTATGTGATGACGGCACAGTGTACAATGACATAGCCCAAATGGTACAGTGATTGTTATCATCATATTATGTATATCATAAATCACATACGCCTCCCTCCTTGCTACAATGCAAAATTTAATGTGGGGCGTAGGTCACTGACGAGGAGGACGAGACCTCCGAAACATCGGTGTATGGCTTTGGCGTACCAATCTCGCTTAGGCTTTAAACATACTTTTTTGAAAATATTTTGAACACATTTCACATAATTCGACTGCATTTATATGGAACAATGGAATTTTGCAAGAAAGCTTAAAATACGTCTTCATGTCTTCCTCAACTAATAATCTATCTTAATCTAATCTGAAACTTCTTTATATAATACCATGAACTCCGCTCTAGAGTCGGAAAATGGATTGCGTTTGCAAAAAGTTACCTTTTATTGATGATTGAATAAAATTCTTTTTATTTGGCCGCTTCTAGCGGTGGTATGGATTTTCAAGTATACCCACTGATCTAGAGTGATGTGCAAAACTTCGGCGCCAGGCGGGACTCCAACCCACATCCAACTCTACCCGAGAGCGTGTGCTCTAACCCGCTGCACTACCAACGCCCATTTTGCACACCACACTTTCTATACTCCTGGATAGAGTGAAATGTGAGTTCAATTCTTGCTTGACGTGAAAGTTTTCACATCACTCTACATCAGGGGGTTACTTTCATTGTTCCTAAAACGTAGTGGGAGTGTCGAACCACAAACTAAGTGTATTATGAGAATCGACATTTGTCAAGCTATCGAGTGACTGCAAGAACATCGACTATAAAAAAGAAAGTTGAAAACTGGAAATGTGCTCTCTTTTACCGTCATGTGGTTTTCTCAATAAAGCAAAAGAAATTTTTTCTACACAGACATATTTTTTGCTAAACTGTCTTTCTAGAAGCCT